ACTTGCGAGTCACCAGTATCCCCAAGCGCTGTGCGGCGGGTGACTGAGGTCAGCACCACCGTGCGGGAAGGAGCGCTTCTGCAGAATTAGCGCCGCGGACACTGACAAGGGCATCCGACTACGTAACATCACAACTGATGCTCCGGGGTGCGCACTGGGCCCAGAGCTTCACAGTACTGACCTCGCTCAGTCCTTGCGTACGCTATGTGGTGTACCGTTACGATCGCCATTCACAAGCGGGGAAACTGAGGCACGAAGTGGTAAGAACTTGGAGCAGAGTTGCACAGATGTTAGAGTCAGACCTCGGACTCCGGTGCTCATCGAGAGGGAAGGCTGTCGGCGACACCTGCTGGAGAAGACCGCGATCTCCTTCCTAATCACACATCTCAGCGCTCTGCTCTGCAAAGCTAGAAAGGGCTGAGGCGCTGGACCATATGGCCATATGGTTGGCCACGGTTTGAGTCCCGAACCTGGCGGCTTGCTTTCTCTCTCTCTCTCTCTCGTCAAATTAAAATAAATGAATGAATAAATAAAATTAAATAGAAAATAATTCTTAAAAAATAAAAAACGAAAGGGGAAACTATAACGTGTGCAGGATCATCGCTGAGGGCTAGCAGACATTTTCAGTCTGTAAAAGTGCCACTCTCGTGGAATTGTATTTATTTTAAAAGTCTTTTAGAGACAGTATCTGGCTGTGTTGGCCACACACTGGTCTCGAACTCTCTATCTTCCTGTCTCAACCTTGCAAGAAGCTAAGCTGTAGGTGTGTGGCAATGGAGCCAAGCTCTCGAGTGGAATTTTTATTATTCCTTTGCAAGCCACTTTTTCCATAATCAGCAGCATCCCTGTCTGTCATGCTCCCCTCAACCTTAGGCTTTGGGTGAATTGCACACTCACAGGGCTGAGATTCCAGCTATGACCCTCTTTACGGTAGAGACTCCCCCACAAAGCTGGGGTCCCAGCGCAGACCTTATGTATTGGGTAAGCAGATCCCGGTGGCCCACAGTCCCAACTATCCCTTACGTTTCCATATCGGTTCTGGTACACTAATCTGGATAGGCTACCACGTTTCTGGATCTGTAAATGATCACCTATAGAATTCAGGTCCAGAAAGTAGCCAGACTCTCTTTCAGAACCCAATTTTCTATTGGAGAAGCCCTAGGGATCTAGCCTTTACCATAGGTGATTTAGATTTGTGTGCGTGTGTGTGTAAGTTTTTTGCATTAGGGCATGTGTGCTCCCCAGAGAAAAACAGAGAGAGGAAAAGTGAGAAACCACCCTCCCCCAGGAGGATGGCCATGCCGCAATCTTTTCTCTTCTATTCTACTCCTGGGATTTTGGGTGCGCACACATGCACCTGGCATGAGTCTCAGGCCACCAAATCCAGGACTCAAACCATGGTCAGCCATGTGGGAGTCAGTACCTTAACCACTACGCCACCTGCTGACCCTGAGGGGGGCTCTTTCTGACATTGAGATACATTGTAAATGAAAGTTCCCAGCTCACACTGAACTGGGTTAGAGTGGAGAGAGACAATCAAAATATAAATAAAATGGATCATTTTAGAGATTTGGTGTGTATGTGTCTACATAAGACTTCACACACACACACACACACACACATGCCCAGCATGAGATTTAAGTCACCAGGTCCAGGACTTGAACTGCAGTCAACTATGTGGGAATCCAACGACATAACCATTATGCCATCTGCTGGTCCCCCCAGGTGATGACCCTTGTAATAGTTCCTTGACCTCCCATCATTCCTTTGGCAAAATCAACCCTGAATCTTATCCCCCCCAAAACCATACCTTCTCTGAATCAAAATTCTATAAAGTTCTAGTAGGACACCACCTTCATCCTCCCATCCTTCACTCTGGGCTTTAATGACAGGAGCCCTCCATTACTAAAGATGATTCCTCTCCTGATGCCCTTTCATATTTGAGAGGCGTTAGTGTGTGTGTGTGTGTGTGTGTGTGTGTGTGTGTGTGTAGGGGGGGCTGGTCTTGCCCACTGGATCCCAGGAATGGTTCACTTACACTGTCAAGGCAACTTCTCACTTCACTTGAATTTCCATTCTGGCAAACCCCGATGCTGGATCAACCCAGGCATGTTTTCCTTGTTTGTTTTGTTTTGTTTTTGTTTTTGTTTTTGTTTTGGAGAGGTTTTTGCTATAGGGCGCTTGCGCGCCAGACAGAGATAGAAAGTGAGAAATCACTCCCCAGGGTGGATGGCCATGCCGCAATCCCTTCTCCTCCATTCTCCTCTCGGGATCTTGGGCACACACGCACATGTGCCCAGCGTGAGTTTAAGCCACCGGGTCCGGGACTCGAACCGTGGTCGACTACAATGGAGTCCAGCGACATAGCCATTATGCTAAGTGCTGGCCCCTCCTCGTTTGTTTTAAAACTGCTCAGATGGGAACCATTCTCCTCTCGGGAGAGGAGAATGGAGGAAAAGGGATTGCGGCGTGACCATCCCCCCTGGGTGGTGATTTCTCACTTTCTGTCTCTATGTCTCTGTCTGTCTGGCGAGCGCACGCACCCTATAGCGAAAACCTCTCAAAAAAAAAAAACAAAACAAACAAAAAAAACTGCTCAGAGTAGCCCACACTATCTGCTTTGGCTTCTATTGATTTCTTAGCCCTCTGCCATTTTGCTTGTGAAACGATTTGCATACGTGCCCCACCACCAAGTAGCCAGCTGCCATCCGAACGCAGCCTGTGTGAAATGGAACTCAGTCTCCTCCTCTTTGGGACATCCCTGTTTTCATCCTCCCAGTAAGTGACACCTCCCCGGGAGCCTTCCTTTTACTCAGCTCCACACCTACCCTGCACGAGGTGTTTCACACATTGGACTGAGCTGTTTCAAGTCTGTCCACCACCTTTTATACTCACAGCAAACCTCATTTCAATTCCTTTCTTCTCTTGCTCGGATTTATGTAAAATCTTTCTAACTGGGTTCCCAGGGAAGGGTCTATTCCAGCTTCACTGATCTTTCGCCCTAAAGAAAGTCTTTCCGAATGACTTTCCCGATTGATTTCATACCCCAACACTGCCTTCAGGACAGATCTAAACTTCCGCAGCAAGTCATTCAAAAGTTTCCCAGCATCCTTGGCTCTGCCCCTCCTCCTCCAGGCAGTATCTCAATAGTCCCGCAGCTTCCGTGCTTTTTAGCCTCTCCAGCTCTTACTTCCCTCTGCCTGGAATCTGCTTCTTTCCAGTTCTGCCTCATAAATTCTATTATATAAGACCCTGAAAAATGAACTAGAATGGAACGTCCATGAAGCTGGTGACGTGGTAAGCTCTCAATCAATATTTATTGAAAGAATGAAATGTCACCCTTTCGTGGAGCCTTCCAGAGGTGTCCTTGCAGAATTAATGTCTCGATTCCAAGGTCCTTGGCTCCTCCTGTTGTTATTTTTGTTTAGTACTCAGTTGAAAACCTAAGAGTCGAAGAACTCCTCAAGCACAGAGACTGTGTCCTGGTCGTGCCTGACTCTGGAGAATGAACATATGGTGAATCTCTGTGTACAAAGGGGTCTTCAAAAAGTTCATGGAAAATGTATAACATGAACTGTACGCAGCTCTCAAAAATTTTGCTTCAGTATACACTTGACTTTTTTTTTACAACTATAATTTTTAGGAAATTTACCCTTTATTTTGGATACACTTGACCTTTAATTCTAGTTTTCCATGAACTTTTTGAAGTCCCCGTCTGGCAAGTTAAACCCTCAGAACCCACGCACCATGAGGTTAACATGCCCATCAGGGTGGGAGTTTGTGCAGGGACAGAGCCCAGGAAGCATGGAGCTAGCAGGCTGCTGAGGATAGTCAGATTAAGCTATCCAACAGGCTTATGGGCAGCTTTACTTATTTAAAAATTGTTTAGTTTTCGGGTGGGTAGTTAAAAATGATAATTTCTTGTGGTAAAAAATGTAAAATGAATAGAAGGTGTAAATAAAAAGCAATTATTGGGGCTCACAGGTGGCAGGGTGGTTAAGGGCATTGGGTTCCTAAGTGACCGAATGTGGTTCGAGTCCTGGAACCGGCAACTTGCTTTCTCACTTTCCCTCTCTCTCTCTGTCTCTCTCTGGTCAAATTAGAAATAATAAATAAATAAAGTTAAATGAAAAAAATTATCTTTTTAAAAAAAGAGCAATTGTCAGGGCCAGCAGGTGGGTGGTGGGATGGTTACGTTGCTAGACTCCCACATGGTCAACTGTGGTTCAAGTCCTGAACCTGGAAGCTTCCTTTCTCACATTCTCTGTCTCTCTCTTTCTGGTGAATTAAAAAATAATAAATTTAATTAATAATTCTTGGGACCAGAAAATGGTATAATGGACTGGACTCCTATGTAGTTGACCGTGGTTCAGGTCCTAGTACCGGCAGCTTAAAACTCATTCTGGGAAAACTTCTCAAAAAAAAAAAAAAAAAAAAAAAAAAAAAAAAAAAAAAAAAAAAACACAC